TTACCAATTTCAATCATATTTTAAAATATAATAAAAAAGTGTAGCATAATAAACTGTTTTTATAAAAATGAATTTTAAATTCTTCGTAATGAAAAAGCGCGCAGCTGACGTTTGTGTACATAACAACCGAATGTCAATAAATGAAAAGTTGGCGATAAAGTTCCTAACCAAATAGGTTAGTAAATGAAAAAAGTAATTCTAGTAATTGCAAATGATCTAATACTACATATGAAATTGCTACGCTGTCTGTTAACATTGATTAGTAGGTGAATTAAAATGTCATCAACTTTTGATGGGCGTCTTTACGCTCTGGTCTTTATAACGGAAGACGAGCAGTTTGAAGTAGTGGAAGGATCCAGGATCAAAAAGTTCAAACCAAAACATGAACAAGATTTCATAAAATATGGTGTATACTTTTGCAAAGAGACTGCCTCCAACAAATATTTTGAAGTTTTACTTTTTGAGCTTGGAGGTATTGATTTATCTCGTTTTTATCGTGTTTAGAGTATTTAGGTATTCACGTTCGTTAGGCCGTGCACATACGCAAGAGCGATCAGCGACGAGCGATGAGCGCGACTAGGGATGTTCGGAGACAAAGTGGTTGATTGCTGATCGCGGTTTTGCATGACTGAAGAAGTTTGAGATGATCTCGACATTTTGTAATACCGTCTTTCCTCAAGGGTTCACTTTATCATTTCTAGGAACAAGTGAAATCATATTAAACAATATTTAAAAAACCGATCAAGCGCCTCGTCGCCATAGTTGGATCTACTGAATGACAACGATCAGCGATCAGCGATTTTCTCCCTCTCCGCATTTTTCCACCGAATATCTCTGGAAACTCGTCGCTCGTCGCCAGATCGCTCTGCGCGTGTGCCCGGCCTAAATATAGTTCATTTTCAAAAATGTATGAAAATCCTTTTGCAGACTTCAACACAATGAATGAGTCATTAGCAGCTATGAATGATTTAATTATTTCCCATGCTTTGGTTGATTTCACTGCTCGGGGTGAGGTTAAAGTCATTGAGATTGGCAGTATTAGGCAATTTATGCAAGAATCACCCAAGTACAAAGAATATTTCAGCAGTTCGGTCTTTTATGATGCAAAGTTTGATGAGAAAGCCGAAAACTATGAAAGTGTTCGGATTATCGCTTTGGGAGGTGAAGTTTGTTGTGTTGTATAATAAAATATTGACTTGACTATATAGAACGATTATTCATCATGAAATTTTTTTATTTCGCCATTAGTTTTCTAATTTTATTGTATAATAAAGCGATGAGATTTGTTTAGCTGAGCCTAGAAAGTCGATCACTTTATCATATAATCATGTATTTTATTGATTTTAATTTTTAGACTATGATGAAATGAGTAAGGCGATCGAATCAGTGCAAAATCAAGATGATATACTGTATGCATTGGTTCGTTTTGTAGAAGATGATTCATTACAAGTAATCAAGATTTGTAATATTCTACAGTACATTAAACAGAGACCTGAAAGTCACGATGATTTCGACGAGATGCAAAAGTACACCGGTAAGGCAAAAGAAAATGAGCCGTATGCCGACATACAGATCATAAATTTGGGAAGCAAGTATTTGGTTGTCTAGATAATTTTTTGATGATCATTCAATATGTAAATAATAATACGTATTATGTATATTTTTAATATATAATAAAAATTTTCATAGCCTTCTGCGAGTGCTCTAAAAGAATTGATGAATATCTGAAAGTATCATACGCACTTGTCAAGTTTATACAAGACCGATGTTCATGTATCATTAGTATTGCTAACATCAGAAATGCATCCATTGACAAATTCAAGAAACCTGTTCGAACACCATTCCTACCAGAAAATCCGAGTGACTATGACCCTAAAAAGTTATATGTAGTTAAAGAAAAAGGAAAGTATCGAGCCATTCAAATTTTTGAAATAGGGCGTAAGTAAAATTCTATATTTCTGAAACTGAGGCTCCCGCAACAGAAAGGGGACGAAACCAAAGTTAAGTGAATGGGTTTCATCCCCTTTCTGTGGCGGCGCAATTTCAAATAACTGAAATTGACATAAAGTAACCATAAAGTAACGACATATATTTTTATTAGATAAACAAATTTTGAAGTTTAAAAAAGCATACCCTCAAAGTAGGTTAAAGTCGGTGAATTTCAATGATAGCGACATAATAGATTTTTGTCGCGACATGACTGACGATGGCGATGCTATAGTTAGCCAAAATGAAAGTATTCACGAGAGCTCTGAGAATGAAGATGATGAAGACCAGTTTCCAAACAAAAGATTAAGAAAAGTATGTATCTTTTATTTGAATATTAATTATCTACTAGACATACGAAATTTGGAAAAAAATAAAATGTTTTTTTTAACTTGGAAAATTAAAATTTTACTTACGTTAAATTTGATCATGACACAAACAATAAAGTTAAAAGAAAATTATAAATAAAATAAAAATTTAAATGACATACATAGCTGATGTAAACTTTTAAACCACATTATGCAGTTTATTTATACTGTCATTTTTTTTATACAGAGCCGTAGTAATGGTCGTGAGAGTAGTACTGGCAGCAGTGAGCCAGAAGGAACAGAAGATATTGATAAAAGGGTATGCAATTTTTTTTCAGACCAATCGAGTATTATAACAGTTAAGTTAAATATTGCAGGGCAAAAAGAAATCCAACAGTTTTGAACGTAGACAAAATTTACTAAAAAAGACATTAAATGCTGCAAATAGAGTGGATAATTTTGACTCTGACGTCGCATCTGATACCGAAGAAAGAGAAGCTTTGCTCCAAAAAATTGCTGAAAAAGAACGTAATGTGAGGCCAATAGGATCTCGTCAATCTTCTTCAGAATTCCCAAACAGTAAAAGAATATTATGTCTTTAATTAAAAAATACGATAAACCAAAAAATTTTTTTTTTTTATTTGATCATAAATGTGTTGAAACATGTCCAGGATTCAGCCATAGTACACCTCATGCATCAGGGAGTTTTCTAGGAGCTGACAGCAGCCCTGCAGCGCCCATGCAAAAAACCCAGCGGCAAGTAAACTTGAACAAAGTTAGGGAACATGTAGGAACTAGCAGCTCGAGAGGAATCAGAAAGCGACACAAGTTTGCACCAAGGAGGTTCAATTATGATTTGCATGGTTTGGATGATCAATCCAAATTATATAAAATATGTGATCCAAAATTAGGCGATTGGTCAGATAGTGACATTGGAGAATTAGAAGACTTGAAGGTTTTTGAAGTGTTTTATGAAAAAAACAAAGAAGGAAAGGTAAAAAATTATGGTTATTAGCTCAAACTTCTTCCATCTAACATTTCATATATTGTAGGAAGTGAAAATGATACATTTAGGATGGGATATGGCTATCGCTTATAATTATTGGAGTGAAGCAAAAGAAAAAAAAATGCTGTAATGTTCATAAAGACAATTAGTAGGGGATTGTATGGACAAAAAGTTGTTGAGAAATGCTTAGCAATGAAACCGAATATGAAGAAAGTTAATGGTGAAGAGAGGACTCTGGTAACTGATACAGAAATGAAAGTGTTTAAACGTATGTAGATCATAGATTCGTGTTTATGTAAAATTGAATAATTCTTAATCCGACATTTTTAATTGTGGTATTAAACAAATATTTTTATTCATTATTTCAGAAGCACTCAGGTTCTGGGTAATTGCTGATCACCCTGAATTCTTGGAAGAGCGTACATTGAAAAACATACTCAGCACAATATCTGGCACTTTATCAGTTGAAATTTCGTACCAAATACGAAATTTTAAGCCCGAGACATCAGAAACGTAATTGCCAGGCTAAAGTTGTCGCTACCGGGAAAAGATACGCAGTTTAATGATTCGATTTTTTTTTAATTTTTGTATTTCCACGAAATTATTGCCATCTGAATTAAGTTTAATGCAGAGATGAGTTATTTGATTTTTAACTAATTACTAGAATTTAAGCTGGTTTGTAGACACTAGAAGGTCGTTAATAAAATCTAAATATACTTACGTGTGTTCTGTATTGTTTTTCAGTCATGTCCATCACATTTTGCTTAATTTCTGTACGAATATTATATATAAATCATAAGAACCTCGCATTCCTTTTATCGGAAATCAGAACAAACTTTATACAAAATTGATGTGAAATTCGCATAAAATTCATACAAATTTCGTATGTAAAATTCGGACAATGCGGGTACTGATTTTGCACTGATTTTGCATGAATTTCGTACAAATTTCATGCGAATTTTGCATGAATTTTACATAAATTTTCATATAAAATTCATACAAAATTCGTACAAACTTTTTTTGTAGGGATGACATGAATTCTGAGATCATGACACGTTGAAATAGGATATGTCATGAGCCACTTACAAAACAAATTGTAATGTTTTTGTTTGTTTTCATTTTTATCATTTTATATTCAAAATACGCCCCCCTCTAAAATCCCTAGAAATCACCTGCGCATGGTTTGCTGCGCAGTGGCTCATGATATATCCTATTAAAACGTGTCACAATGTCAGAATTCATGTCATATTTAAGTGTCAGAATCGTTCTGTGAACACCCTAACGTAACTTCATAATTGCTATAACAATAAAGCATATAGATAATCAAAACGAAGAACTAGACAATATGAGTCGTAATTAGGAAATAAATATTTTTTTATTTGCAATTGTCGGAGGGTTTAGACCTTATTCCGCATCCTTTCCACGGTTCCAGATTCTTTTCGTATATGGTACATATTATACTTGTGATATCCTCTCCCTTTACATAGTTGTAACATATTAAGTATATTCCATTCATTTTGAGAATGTTATTAAAAATATCGATTACGATAAAACGCTTTTTTAGAAAATCACAAAACTTTGAAGAGATTAAGTTTATTCAATTTTGAATCAATTAATACATGAAAAAAATTGGTAACAGTGGTTTTTCAAAAAGTCGTGGTTAAACATCGATGGCTTGGCATGACAATGTTTCTCTAAATTGCTTCTATAATTTTTTCCAATCAATATTTATTTATTTATTGTTTATTTATTAACCAGAATACTGCACAATCAACTTAAGCAAATTTTACAATACGTTACACAATACATTACACATTCCCAGCAGAGGAATAAATTCCTGTATGCTGGTCTGGCAAATTAAAATTTCAAAGTTGATACATGCATTCTTGGAACATTAACAAGTAGAGTAATATTTAAAAAAATTTTATTTACGAAAATTTATATAAGTTGTTGGTTGAAGTTACTCTTTTCATAACTTTCGATATTATAATTTTTTATAAACAAACAAAAATATGTAATTAATTTGGCAAAAGATTTTTAAAAACTTTATACTGTGAAAGAATTATTTCCACATTTATTTCTTTTAGTTCTTCAAAATGAGAGCATCATGAGCAATTAGGACTGATTAAATACTTTTTCCACTGTGTGGAACCCTCTTTACAACTGCTAAACAAGAAAATGCCCTGAAAGTTGACAATAAAAAATGAACATTAAGAATAAATAAATATGAACAATATTTTAAAATATATTTTTTTATTGAAAAAGAAGATAGTACTAATTAATAAGCCATTGAATATGATTAAATGAGATTTTTCATTTTACTTGGGAAACAAAAGATTAAACTTTATTAGTTATAATTGGTTTAGGCGCATGAATGCGACTATGACGTAGAAGTGAACTTTTATCAGTGAAAGATTTTTCACATTCAACACATTTATAAGTTCTGCCAGTGTGTGTCACAAGATGCCTACTCAATCCAGAAGCATGACAAAATGCTTTAGGGCACAACTGGCAGTGATGTAACTTAATGTCGTTAGGGTCGAGCTTTTGATGTCGGCGCATATGTACTTTTAGTGCTTCACGTTGTGTGAAACTTTTTTCACAATGTTGGCATTGAAAAGGTTTTTGTCCAGAATGAGTCATTAAGTGACGTAAAAGAATTTCTTTTTGGGCAAAAGCCCGATGACATATATTACATCCAAATGGTTTTTCACCAGTGTGGGTCCGTTCATGACGTACCAAAGCTGATCGTGTTGGGAACCATTTCTCGCAAGCTTGACACGTGAAGCCTCTCTGTGTACTGTGTACTGATTGATGACTCTTTAGCATGATTCGTCTTGTAAAGGCCTTTGGACATTTATCACATTGAAATACTTTAAGCTCTTCACTGGTTTCCACTGGAATTAATATTTTGATGTTACATCAGTCCATTGATTTTAATATTTTGTAATTTATAAATATTAACTTTTATAAATTAATTTGATTCTATGGTAATAAAATAACTTTCAAATTAAAACTACAGAAAAATTATTATGATAATGATGATTTATATTGCTGAATAACATTTTCCATTTTATGTATTAGGATGTTATTAGACAAACTGTAAGAATTACTGACATTTAAAATAATAATATATTGAGTAGGTTAAAAAATAAAGTCTGGGTAGATGAAAGATTTGTTAATAATGTAATATATTATATATGATTTATCTAGCTATTAGAACATGCAGATACTGATCACTCATTATTGAAGTAAACTTTTCTTTTTAATTATATGAAAGATTACTTTCAAACAACATTCTTAGAAATATAGAAAAACCCAAATTTAAATAAATTTTGAATTTGAAAAACTATTGAAAATGTAAATTTAATAAAAAAGGTAATTACAACTAAAACCAATATTAAAATCATTTGGTAAATAAAATTTCTCACCAATAGCTGAATGCTGTTGTAACTCAGATGAACTTTGATTCAAGACATCTACTCTGTATACTTTTTGATTATCAGAGCTAATTAATTCTCTTTGAATTTCATCAGGTTCTTCATCAGATTCTTGCTCTTGCTTAATCCTTGATCCTCTTATTGTACAACGTGCTTTAGCAGATCGTTCTTCAGTTGGAACCAAGGTAATATTCTCTGGATCTTCTGAAAAATTATCTTCCATATCAGCATTTTCAGCACCTACTCCTAGTATATAACCACCAACCAACTCTTCTTCTGTTACTTCAATTGGATCTCCTACTGTTTGACTGTCAGCTGTGTCTATTTTTGTTGATACCAAATCAGCAAGTAATTGTTTAACTCTTCTTGATTTTCCACTGTTAGATTGTAGCTGCTCATTTTCAGATCGAGAATCTTGACTTATTGAATCATTATCTTCAGGACCAGTCAATTGATGAATAAGTTTCACATGTTTGCGTAATTTTATATCTGCTGTTTCACATTTCTTTTTAAATTGATAAGATTTTTCAAGTTGGTATTTACAAGGATGACATATCATATTTGGAAGACCATCTTCTTCATATACCTAAAAAAATTTTATATTATAAAAACTTGAGTCCTGAATAATATTTGTGGTTATAGTAAACATTATATAAAATTTAATAATTTTTTATGTATGAAATAAAATTTAACAAAAATAGCACACATTTATTTTTCAATAAAGTTATCACAAAGTGTGATACATAAATACTATTTTTAAAACATGGCCAAGATAAAATTAAATTTTACAAATTTTATTTCACATATTTTATAATATAATCTAGTACGGGCAAATATTGAATTTATCTTACGTATATATGTTATTTTTATTAATTTCATACTCCAAGATCAGAGCTTTGACTTTATTAAAACAATATGTTTCAGACATTTAAATATTTTATTTTATAAGCTACTGCATGGGCAATAACATTACAATTAAAATTATAAAATATAGGTACATAAATATAGATAAATTAAACAAAATATTTTGCACAGTTACAATAATGTTTCATTATATGTAGTTCATACGATTTACATGTTTCATAGTGCAAAATTTTTAATGAATATCTATGTAATTAATTTAACTATATTTGAAAATCAAATAAGGTTTATCTACAAAGACAAAAGGAATATGCAGAATTAGACATGTTTTCTATCATTTAAAAATGTTATACATTATTGAAACTACTAACAGTATCTATTAAATATGAGAAGATTAACTAAATTCACAAGATACAGCAAATCAATTTCAGAAAATCAAAATGTAGTATAAATAAAATCCTAGATGATTGTATCCTTTCTTTGATGATAAAAGCATACTTTTTTTAATGATAAAATAACAATAGTAATAAAATAACAGCCTTAATCAAACATTAAAATCTTCAAAAGATTTACCTCGAGATTAAGACAAGCCATAATTCTGAGTGGAAGTGGGATTGTTTCTTCATCATATATCGGTACCATTTCCTCATCTTTAGCCAGACATAGTCGACAGAGTTCATTCAGATGTAAAATAACATTACTAGGGCTATCGCCCTTCTTCCTACGCACATAAGTTTTCATACCTCCTTTGAGATCCAGTTTGGGATTACGTGATAACTGAATATATAGAATTGGGAATTGAAGGAAAGAGTAAAAGTCGCTTAGCCAGAAAAATGTAGACAATTCATTAATTTAAAGACCAAAGGCAATTGCCAATTATCCGCACTTTTAGATAAATTAAAACTGCTAAATGTTTGTCTAGTAGATTAAAACAGCACTGACAGCGATGACGTCGTAACACTTTTGTACACTAGACTTAGTCGCTCAAAACGAAATCTTACTCGCACATAATCTACGTAATTACTATTGAACGAACTTATGCTGAAACGTTAAAAATATCGAGCTCGATAAGGAATACGCGTCGATTGTTAACGACGCGCATCACAAATATGGCGTAGCACTCAAGCACTATCTAATAAAAGAATTTAGGAATCTTTTTTACTTTGGTTTAGCATGGAAAGCTTGGATTCAATGGAGTTCTAGTGGAAATCAACTGTACTGTTCTCAGTGCAGAACAAGAACTTTTTGGCTTTGGTAAATCCGAGTGTAAAAGTTTGGATTGTTTGAAAGAACAGTTTAACGAAGAAGCTTAGTATCAGTGGCGCCCTTTGCGGTTATCTTCTGCGAACCTAATTTACCGGCAAGCAGTGCTGAAAATGAGATTATTCTCCCTCAAAAGACAAACTTATATTGTGTAAAGAGAAAATCGTTTTTACAATAAATGTTTCCCTGCGACTCTGTTTACTAAATTATCTACGCGGTAATTCAGAAGACAAAATGCATAGGCAATTGAGCAACCTGTTGGGTATGCAAATTGTGACGTTCGTGCATAAGAATTTAGAATGAGAAAAAGAAGTAAATCGAAACTCAATTACAACTTCCAATACCAACAATTTATTAAATAACAAATAAAAAAAATATAAAAGAAAATTACAAACTTGAACAAAGAAGCAAAACAAAGATTAAAAAAGAAATTAAATAACAAACAGAAAAAAAGATGTTATGTCTAGGGGAGATGTTACTGCTAGACGTAATAATGTATACAAATACTGTCGCGTTGGTAAAAGTTGGATCTTAGTCAGGAGTTAAGCAGAGGTTGGTTAAAGCGATAGCGCCTTTATTATATGTAGCGCGTTTAAGTAGATAACTTAGTTTCTTACCTTATTAGGATTGGATTTTAGAAGAGGTTTTTACGAACAGTCTGAGGTGTTTGCGCTTGATTTACGATTTATTGTTTAAAGACAATTTTTATAATGCTTAACAGAGTATAATTCCGGTTCTGAGTAGCCGGATAGTTAGACTTAAAAAATAACTCAATTAGTACTGCGCGAAACGTATGCAGTGCGAACTGAATTGCTCTGAACTGCCAAACTGCTGAACTGTACTGTGTTTTGCGGATCCCGATCCAGCCTTTTTATACCGTAGGCTGATGTGCCCCTTCCTGTATTTTCGCCGAATTAATATGTGGTGAGTAATATTCGCGGTAATATTATGAAGACGTGCTTAGACTAATCTATCTCGCTAGATAGATTTACAAATGTTCCCTATATAATAGGAATTAAATATAATATAATATAATAGGAAATTAAATTACCGATACCCGGTTTGTTACCATAACCCGTTATTTACTTATCATAATTCGTCACGTACTTATTCTTTGTATCGACGTGACGTGCCCACCCCTCGGAGTCCTTTGCTGATAAAGCAAGGGACTAGCGCTCTCCGAGCGCTACTGCGACTACATATTTGTATTGTTTCGTTAAATATATTTTTGTGTTTTGTTGTATGTATATTTTTATATCTTATTATATGTATTTTTGTGTGTTTTTTGTGGTTTTTTTTGTGTTGTTATTATTATTATTATTTAATTATTCTAAGAATAGGAAGGACTTGGGATAGGATAATAGCAATTCCAAACGATGAACCTGCAAACTCTTCTGGAACCTACATAAAACCTCCTTGCCAATACATCTGGCACAAGGAGCATTACTGAGCATAAAATGCTCCAGGCGGACACATTCGGCCTCCATGGCTAGTTGTTGAGCCTTAGAAGCGGCTGCAACGCGTGCTCGGCAGAAGAAACACCCCTGTCAATGTGCGGTGTCTTGCCCGCACACATGGCATGGATAGAAACGGGCTCGTCCGAACCCCTCTTCTCCATAGGTTTCCTCGAAGAGGAATCTTAGGTGCAGGTGTCCGTGATGAACCTCCTGGAAAATATACTGCGTCAGCTCGTGGTGGTCCCAGCCTCCATCGTCGTCCAATAGCGGCAGCTCAGGATGCTGTATGCTCGTCTGGGCCTCCCGGTTCTCCCATCTTGTAAATAGTCGTTCCATTGTTGCTGCCGACGTCCGGTTGTTTAATATCTGTTCCGTCGTCCAGGATCCTTGGCCTTCTTGCGTGGCGGACCAAGTGTAGTAGTTGCCGTAAGTTTCATCGGTTTATGGAGTGTCTGACATGACAGGGGGGTATGTTAACGTTTTTATACCCCTTTCTTTTTTTTTTATTAGAAAATGGGAAGAGTTGGAGGAGGGTCTGTTGTTTCGAATTCTTGGAGTGGGACTGCTTGCACGGTCACGGGTGGGGAGTGAGAAGTGTCGTAGTTGATTGGTAGCCTAAAATATTTTCCATCAAGTAATGTCTGTGCAGATTTGCAGATCATTCTTTTTTGAGGAGTTAAGGGTTGATTCAGTTCTTGCATTGGTACATTTTCGAACCTGCGGTCTTTGTCACTGCATACTCTATATGCGCAGAGTATGCAACTTACTGCGATTACGGATGCGATAACGATTACAATGGCTACACCTAACGCTAAATATGCGTGCAATAACTTCGCTCGGTCCGAGTGTTCGTATCTGTTCTGATTATTATTTGTTTTTGGGCTTTTTATTACTATTTTGTTTGTAGTTATCAGAGAGATTTTCGGAATTACAAAATTTTCCGCCTTTAGTTTTTTCTTCACCCCTAAATAAATATGGTGGTTTGTTCTAAGTTCGCACAGCTGGGGAATCTGTATTAATCCTGTGTCATTGAAAGGGAAGGGTTGTACTACGCTGTTACAATTAATATCAAAGGAAGTATTGAGAGTCACTGAGTATAGCAAAACATTATTTTGTAACGTCGGTATAAGATAGTAGTCAGTTTCTGAGTTAGTTTCAAGTTGGCAAAATACACGATTTGACTCTTTCGGTGATGTTAATAGATCAAACTCGCAGGAATTATTGTTTGGCTTACGTATAGTCGGGCGTGGGCACAGATAGAAGGAAAAAATACGTTTACACTCGTTATCAATTAAATTCTTGCTTACAAAGGTATGGGTAGTTTCTCCCTCTGTCACAGTCAGGTAATCACTTTGTGGTCTAATGAACTTAGCGATTCGGTTAGTTTTGTTAGGATACTGAAATACTGGTAGTGAATATAATTTGAAACTCTGTGTATTGCTGCTTGCGACAAGGGGAAAAATTACTTCGACAATGATGTTCTTACGAAAGTAGACTACGTTAACTTCTACAATTTGTTGTAGTGTTATGATATTGATTTTTGACATACAGGGTGGCCCATTTTAAGTGATCCACTTAGATATCTAGATTGGAGTGAGTTTTATCGAAAAAAGTTTCAGACAAAAGTTACTCAACTTTGAGGGGGCCATGTTTCTATGACCTTGGATTTGACCTTGGAGGTCATGTTCAAGGTCATTTCAAGGTCAACTTTGTTTTTTTAAATAGGAACCCCCATTTTTGACCCCGGATTCGGAAAGAGCGGGAAATTTTACGTCCAAAACGGTATTTTTAAATTTTTTTTCATGGCCTAGAGAAGGTCGATTTAAGGTCAAATGCTTGAAAAACTGCCTAAAAGCGTTTTTTTAATTTTTAAGATATCGAAAAATGACCTCTACAAAATTTGTTCAGAATAGAGTGGGCCACCCAATGCACCAAAAACCTTTGACCTTTAACCTCATTTTGAAGGTCATTTCAAGGTCGAAGTGTTTTTTGTAATGGAAACCCCTCTTTTTGACCCCGGATTCGCACATAGCGCGAAACTCAACACAATACCTTATCCAAACGTCGGATTTCGCGCTATGTGCGTATCCGGGGTTAAAAAGAGGGATTTCCATTACAAAAAACACTTCGACATGAAATGACCTTCAAAATGAGGTTAAAGGTCAAAGGTTTTTGGTGCATTGGGTGGCCCACTCTGTTCTGAACAAATTTTGTAGAGGTCATTTTTCGATATCTTAAAAATTAAAAAAACGCTTTTATGCAGTTTTTCAAGCATTTGACCTTAAATCGACCTTCTCAAGGCCATGAAAAAAAATTTAAAAATACCGTTTTGGACGTAAAATTTCCCGCTCTTTCCGAATCCGGGGTCAAAAATGGGGGTTCCTATTTAAAAAAACAAAGTTGACCTTGAAATGACCTTGAACATGACCTCCAAGGGTAAATCCAAGGTCATAGAAACATGGCCCCCTCAAAGTTGAGTAACTTTTGTCTGAAACTTTTTTCGATAAAACTCACTCCAATCTAGATATCTGAGTGGATCATTTAAAATGGGCCACCCTGTATGTACTGGCAACTTTGAATTAGTAATTGCCTTGATAGTTTTTATCGCGTTTAGCAAAAATTGCGGATTGAAAGAAAATTGTTTGTTTTGCAGGAGTTGACGTACTTCAGTTGATATGTAAATAAACTTATGTAAAATGTCGTTAATTTCGGCTAAAATAAGGCTAATGTGCGTAGAATTATATACTGGGCTCATTGCGCTAGTAATGAAGTCTGCGCGAGAATTTCTAAAAAGCAAGAGATTTGTTTCTGATCGTAAATTATTTTCGGTAATATAAGATAAGTCATACTCGTCCATTTGTTCGGTCAAATTACTCTCGCGCATATACAAAACATCTTCAAGGGCCTTATCGGCATGTACGAGTAAGAGGCTGTCTGGCGATGCTAGGACATCGCGCCCACTTTGGGTGTGTCAAAAGCGTACGCGTTAAGAGAGATGTTGACTGCTTCGTTGATGTGTTGGAGTTTTTTTGTTTCTTCGTAGGCTGTGTATATAAAACTTTTGATGAAATCGTTGATCTCGATTGTGTTGCAAGATATTTTTTCCAGTGTTTGGCGGAAATTGTAATGAGAGTTAAGCACTGAGTTGATGTCGAGAGCGGTGATAATATTCCATTTTTCTTGAATAAATCGTATGGTAGGTCCTTTTTCAAAAGCGATTCCAGGCTGACTATCATATTGCTTTGTAGTTGGCTGGTTTTGGCATATAACGGTAGTTAGTAGACTGATGAAAAGTACTCTGGGTAGGGACATTTTGCTGGTGTTAGCTGGAAGAGTTGTTTTTTTTTATTTTCTTTTAAAATTTTTGTCTAGCGTTGACAGTGATTTTGTTAAAAAGCTCAATCCATTCCCAATTGTCTATTTGGTCAAGGATGTTTATTAGTATCGTTGGGGAGGTGTTATAGTTTCTCCGGAGCAGGAGCGGTGCTACTCGTGGCGACGAGTCAGAAGGGTAAGTGGTACTGGGTTTGAGTAGCTCGCTGAGCACT